AAATTGTATTTGTTGGGTCAAAAAACGTGAAAATTTAATACAAGGCTTTTTATATATTGTAGCAATAGTGCCTAGTTTTAAAAGTAAAAAGGCACATAAAACAAGGTTCCACGTAAGTAAATTATTCTGTAAACAAATAATCTCAAAAATATTAAAAAACTATTTTTTTTATAGTTATTTTATGTTCAAATTTGAACAAAACTACATATTAAACAACCCAGAATAACGATTTTAGTTGTTTTGTTGTAATTTTATATATTAATTCAACTTACCGGCTTCTGTATTAATAATAAGTAGGTATAATAACAAATAACAATATAAATATAATACAAAATATCCACACTGACAAATCGTCTCCACTCAGAATCGTCTCCGATTTCCGTATACAATTTTATCCTATCATTTAATTAAAATGTAATACCATCCATTTTATTGCAGTGACCCTGCACTTGTAACCTGTACAGCAGAGCGACATCCACTTACCCACCTTTTTTTTTTTGTCTCTGTCATCGCCGTATGGGCAGTAAAATTGCTTCGATTTTCTTTAAGGGGCCGTTACAGACTTACAGTTATCTACGTTTGTTTTCTCTGTCTTACAAGTGCTTAATATACCAAATTTTACGCTCAGAAAAACACGTTTATCACCCGTTAGTTTGAAAATTAGAGCGAATTGACCTCGTATAAAATTTAAAGGTAAGATTATTATCTAGACAATGATATAGGCTTTTTATTATAATTTAATTTTAAAACGAGTTATGTGTGTTTTAAAATTGTAAGCTGTTTGTACATCTTAAAATAACCTAACCTAACTCATAACTAGCTTTAAAATTAAAATATATTTAAAAGCCTATGTCGTTGTCTAGATAATCTTACCTTTAAATTTTATACGAGGTCCCGTCTAATTTTTAAACTAACGGGTGATAAACGTGTTTTGCCGAGAGTAAAATTTGCTATGTTATGCACTTGTAAGACGGAGACAACAAATGTCACTGTAACGTCCCCTTAACAGTATATCTTGTTCGATGGGAAAGTAAATCTATTTGGTGCATTCGGGATGTTAAAATTTAAAATTCCCAATAGTTTTCAAAAGCTCAGGGAAAAACAAAATAAAAATTATCGAAAACAAGAATTATGCAAATAGGTTTTTGAAAAAATCAATATTGGTTTTTGGTGTACCTAACTCTAAAACAAGTGACCTTAAATACATGGAATTTTCACTGTTTGTTTATATAAGCATTAATTTCTATACCTACAAGATAAAATTTTCAAAAATTATTGACTTGTTTTTAGCTGTTTACGGACATTTTCAGTTTCCAAATTTTTAGGTTTTTTTACTATAAATGTCAATAAAATGTTATTTGTTGAGTCAAATAGCTTGAACATTTAATACAAGGCTCTTAATATATTGTTACAAAGGCAGTTGAAAAATACGAAAAATGCATAGTTGGAATTTCGTCGGCTTAAAAATTGCAAAAATGTGTAAATTATTTTGAGTTAGAAATTCATAACTATGCGATAAGCATTTAAAGTTCAAATATTAACAAATTACGTAAAAATCAGGAAAATGTGCAAATTATTTAGAGTTAGAAATTCCTAAAAGTTTTCTTATTAAATCTAAAATTTTAAAATGTCATACAAGATTCATTCCAAGTTTGTCTGCATTTATCAAAAAAAATAAATAGCAACCAGTGAAAATTTCATGTATATACGTTTATTTATTTTAGAGTTACACCAAAAACAAAAATCGATTATATTTAAAACCTATTTTGCCTAAATTCAAATTTGATGCCAGTTTTTCATTAATTTTTATGTTGTTTTTCCTGGCGCTTTTGAAAACCATTGGGAGTTTCGACCTCCCGAATGCACCAACTAGATTTACTGTCTCGTCGAACAAGATACGGTCGAAACAAATCAAAGCAGTTTTACTGCCCCAAACGGTGATGAGAGACACAAAAATGAAAAAAACACACATCATTGTAAAATCAATAGGTACATTCATCGCTCCGCTCACAATCTAAAATCGGAATTCTTGAGATTGTTAAAAAAATTCTCCTCTACAATTTTTATAACAGGTAGTTTTACAGTAAACCGTTTCAACTGGCATTATATTACTGGAATTACGAAACCATGGTTTTTATTTGTGAAAATTCGGATACGAATACGAATATAATATCGAACCAAATAATATTCATTGCAAAAATAAAAAAATCATTTCCTTATGTGGGTATTTATAAACTATGTACGGCAGCGATATAAATAATCTGTTTTGACCTTTGGTGAGGTTGAGGTACTGTCGTTCGCACGCTGGGTGGTGGTGGTATGAACGCCGAGTACCGACGCGCGACGTCTGCCGATGTGTTTACCTACTAGACTGTTATAAATAATATGAAATATGAATCAAAATGTCTAAAAACATGTCTCAGGAAAACAGCTCTCATTCAAGCTACAATGAATCTAAAAAAACCAAACTTTACCAAAATAAATATGACAATATTATCTGTGTTTGTAAGTTGGATATAATAGATAAGTCAACTCGGTCAATTTATATGATGCATAACAAATTACAAAACAACTAAATTCTTCCACACTTAATAAAATTAGTGTATTATAACAGGCAATAGCTATCGAAAAAATCCAACGTAAAAACACGAGTATTATTGTCATCTTTACGTTTTGCAAAGTATTATTGTAACGACTATTGTAACCCAAATGAGAACTATTCTACCGAAACATGTATTTGAACGGAGAATGTTAGGAGCTCTTAAGGGGAGGGACGGCATGGCCCGCCTCACACGCATAGCTAGATACACTAGATATGTTGTCAACGCATGGCAAATTCTTTTTCACCCGTTTCAACAGTGTTGCTGTGAGTGAACTTACCTATTATCAAACTCTTAAGTCTTAGGTAAGAACATTAGGTACCTATCGGTGTTCTATCATTAGTTTTTTACGATATTTAAATTTTTAAGTGGGTTATGACTTTATGAATATGTAAAATATTACAAAATAATGTACATTGTACAACATAATATTATGGAAAAAACTGTTTGGCGCGGAACAACTTAGCTCCCTCTGAATTTATAGTAGAATTACCTAAATTCTACAACACTTAGGGATTACAGCCTACAGGGGCGTATACAAGGAGGGATGTGGGGGGTCAAAAAATAGTGTTCTTAGTGTCATGTCAGCGTGTTACAAAGAAGCATACAAAAAAAAATTAAATTAATTGTGTACTATAATTGTTGAATTCAGGGGCGTCATTTAAACTTTTTGAAAAGTATGCTAACAACTATATAAGTACCTATATAGGTAAGTAAGTAAATAAGTAGATAGGCGGAAAAAAAAGTTCAGCAGACCAATTTAATATAGGTACTGTAATTAGTGTAATATAAAAATTATTACAAAAAAATTGTATTAGAATTTTTTATATCTTTCATGGATTAATCTAAATACCTACCTATCTAATATATTTTTGTTTTTTTAAATTTTATTTCATAAATGATTTAACGGGCCTAAGTCCTTTATAATAATACATAAAATAACATTAAAAAAAAGAAACAAAAATAGATAAATAATTATGACAATAATTAATTAATTGACAAAAATAATTATACAATATTATGAATATAGTATAGGTATACTTAATAATACCTACTAAGTTTGTTCTTTAATTATTTAAACTCAAATTTAAATATTTATAGACACGCTATTGTATCTAATTATATTGTATTACATATATTTTGACATTTTATTATTTATTCTTTTAATGTGCAGGTACCAAGGTTTTAATTTTTTTTTCTGATCCTACCCCACACAAAATGTATGTATACGCCACTGGTAGGTATGAACTTTATCTGTGTCTAAGTGTCTTATATTATTTGGATAGCATAATTAATGATAAATACATTTAAAGTTATCAGTTTAAGAACATCAGTTTTTTTTTCATTTAATTATTAAAAATGATCGGTGCTATGAAAAAATGAAAAACATTACGATGACACATATTATAAAGTTCTTTCTCATACAGTTGTATGCGTTTTGAAATGTTGGTAATTTTTCTATAAATACAGAGGGAGTAATATTGTCCCGCGCGCAAAACATTTTTTGTTATGTTATACCATTAATTAAGAATACTCAATGGACAGTGACCGTCCCAGGAGGAGGGAACAGGGGGGATTCTCCCCCCTCCCAAAATTAAGCCCTGGATCCGCCACTGTCAATGGTAGTACACATTTGTCATTTTGTAAGACGGAGACAATTAGACAACACATGCCACGGGTGTGACGTCTTCTTAAAATATGTTGTAAAACATGAATAATTATGACGGCGCACGGTGACTGAACAATTATTGCTCTTTGAAGAACAATCGAAGTTTTACGTAAATTCTCCTAATTCGGTCTGAATCGGACATTACCGCCATTACGTCAATACGACCAACAGGCACCGTCCAGAATAATAATATGTTTTATTCTTTCTTTACTTCACATTCTGATAACCGTTATGTATTATCAGTTGTTTTTTTATTTTGTTTATTATTGCTATCATTATAATATTATTGATATTATTATTCTGTGATTAATACAAGCATTCATACTTCAATAGTTTAATCATTATTTTCTCACGAATATAATAATTTTAAATATTTATGTTATTGTTTACATGACGCAGTTTATATAACTTAAACAAACTTACCTTCAATTTATGATTGTAATATTTTATTTTAAAGCAAATATTAATTGTATCATTTTTTTATTTTTTAACTAACGACGTTTGAATAATGTATATGTATGTTATACACGTATATTATATATTATAATAAATCATCTACCTACTATTTTTGTTATTAAGCTCTTAATGAATTATAATTACAGACTGACACTAAAAACTCAATACTGATTGTTCCTGTAAATAATTTTCACAAATAAATAAATAGGTGTACAAATTTAATTTTAATGTTGTATAAAGCGTATACTTGCAATTTTATTGAAATATTGAAATAGATGGAAGAACTGCCAGTGATACTAAATCATCTAAAATCTACTGTAGAATGTTTGTCTATGTCCGCTCAAACCAATACATGGGAAGTATGCGGTGGCTTAGATCGACTACATTCAATTATGATGAATATTTTTAGCCATGGATGTTTAACCATAAATTCAAATGTAAGTAGACATTTAAGGGCGTGTTTAGCCTTTAGGTAATTTAGTCAAATTATACATGTAATTTACAATATTTAGACGTTTTTTCTTTGTATAATAGTATAATACCTATTACCTATATTCGTATTATCAATAAAAATTTCTTAAAATAAAATTGGTATGGATTTTGAAACTAAAAGTATTTAAGAATACTTATGAAAATAATATTCTGATAATAATTAATAATAATTATTGTGACTTTTATATTTTTGGCCTTTTAATAATTATTTTGTTATGTAGGTAGGTAGGTGGATGTTGTATTTTTTATTAGAGGTATATTATATTATGTAATATAGATTATAGCGATGGCTAAGAGGCCAAAAGTTGTATGTCCAATTTTTCTCAAAATCGTTTTATTAGTCCATAGGGTTTATTTGGGTCGTCTTTTTGATTCTGTAAAACATTATAACTCAATATCATAATTAAAACATGTTTTATTTTGTATACTTTAATTTTTGTGTTTTTAGTGCAAGATAGGTTTTTTTAGTGCACACATATAACAAGTCCTAATTTAATGAGACATACGATAAACATTTTAACATGGTCTAAATATTAAGCAATATATCAATAATATAACAAGTCCGGACTTGTTACTTTTGTCAAAAACAATTCATTCAATTTTGGACGTGTAATGTTTTAGATAATACTGAATTTGTGTATCTATTTATAAAAAATGAATATGTCCGGAAATTAATTTTAAATAATAAAAATTTTTAATTTTAAATTACACTAAATAATATGATATCTTCAATTAGCATAAAATATCATTAAACACGGGTTTTATTTGACTAAAAAAGTAATGAAAAATGTTACTTTATTATTTTTCATATCCAATAAAAAATTCCAATATTTTTTACTTTTTCACTGCAATTATATAAATAAATTGAATTTTTTATATCAAAATAATAAGTCTGACGTACATTTTAACTATTTATATAATAAATTAATTAGAGTTTATATTAAATTAACAACTTTTAATATGTCCATAAAAACCTTATATATATGTCCACGGTAAAAATATATTATAATTGATATTCATAAAAAATCTCATTTAAATTTAAAAGAAACATTTTAATTACGTTTAAAAAAAAATGTTAAGACCTAAAAGTAATAATTTATGTAATCTACAGAATATTTTACAAATAAATCTGTTGCAACACCGAAAAACAAAAACCTACAACACAAATTATTTGGTGTAGAATAATTTAAAATCTTAAAACTGCTGTCCTGAAAAATTTAGTGTTCGGGACATACAACTTTTGGCCTCTTAGCCATCGATAGGTACCTAAGCAGGAAGTAAATTTATTTCAAAATAACAATAACGTCTTTACCTAATTTTTTTCAATTTTCATTTTAATAAGATTTCACTTAAGAAATATATTTTGTTAAAAAATTACCTAATGAATCTATGATGAGCTAATGGTCCCTTAAACATAGTTTACTAGTCTAGTAGTTTAGTAGTATAATAAACATAGTTTTTCTAACTTTCAAACTTCTAACCTTTGAGATATACTGTGTTAATAATTATACATTAATGAATATTAATATCCTGACATCTAGTTAGGGATGCCCGCAGAGAATTAGCTCAGTAGGTTTAAAATACATTTGGTGTTCATAATAGCAGTGGTGAGCAAATTCCTCCATTTATATTCATTCAAATTATTTTAATTTTGTAGTATAAAACGTACAATGCAGTATTAATTGTTTGGACTAGTCATTAGTATACTATTTTATGAAATAAATCTTAACTTAACTGATATATTAATTTCGTTACATTTAAATAAGGCTATGGATATATAAATGTATTTACAGTTTAGATTCAATGATTTTCTATATTTTGGCTAAAACTAATTATTTTAAAATACTTAGGTAAACACAAGACTATGTTGTAAACTTTTGGAAAAACTAGGTTCCCTGTTAGTTCTGTTTTAAGAACCTCCCCATCTAATTCTAGATTTATTTAAATACTATTAATAATTAATGTTATTAGTAAAATAATTACTAATATTTAAACTAAGGTCATAAAGATGATTTTGCTTAAACTTGCAACAATGTTTAACTATATTTTTCTTAAGGCAGAAGATGGTATTTGGAATTTCATTCAAGGAATCAATTGGTTGCACCCAACAATAGCATCATTATGCACATTCTCAAGAAATACATGCCCTAAAAATGAACATTTGAATAAATCATCATTATGGATTTATAAAAGGTATGTCATGACACATAAATAAATTAGTCATTCACTACTTAGTTAACAAATAAAATGTATTAACCACAAATTATAAAATGTTCTGGTAATTTGTTTAATGTGCTAACTGTTTAGATAATCAATGCTATTTAATTGAATGATACTTTATAGCACCTATTCAGTGGTGGATTTAGGGGAAGAGCTTGGGAGCTGAAGCACCCACCGTTGTTCCGCATATTGAACTTTTTTTATTATTATTATATAGTACTTAGAAATCAGTTATCATGTAGAACTAAGTAAATTAACTGTAGACCACAGATGTAAACTACTAAAACTACCTACTATCAGAAAATAGATTAATTTGGTTTTTATCCTGAAGTTGTTTATGATAAGTATAGAGCTTTATTATCAACAATAAGGCATACAGCAACCTCCATAAAAAATCCCAAATCCGTCACTGCACCTATTCATGAATAATTTGGTATAATAATTTGGTATTTTAAATTTACAAAAATTGTACTTTTGTTTTTCATATGAAAAGATGCAAAGTACATAGTAAATATTCTCTTAAAAAACCCAGATAAAGCTGAGTTCTTTCTTATGACATTTTGATCAAAATTAATTTTGCATGATTTATGAAAATATTATTTATACCATTTTATCCAAGTTTGTTAGCTAAAATAACAACATAATATCTACATATCTATTTTTTAATTGTAAATTTCATATTACATATTATTATGTACTTTAAAATAGGTATATAATATATTATTATAAATACATAAGTATCCTATAGAATTTATTTTGTTATTTTTGAATCTTTTTTACTAATTATACTAATGAGGTCTACCAATTATTGACTGAACAGTAGGCATTGATTGATCTATTCAGTTATTCTACCGGTATACAATTTATCTATGTGGGCCTTATCACATTTGAAAATATTTTAAGTTATTAGAGTAAAAAACTAAAATTATGCAGGAATCTTATATATTCTCCATATAGTCCCTGTGTAAAGTTACCTAATCGAACAATATGCTTATTTCATTGGTCATGCATAAACTATTTCAATAAAAAACCGATTTCTAGTGTTAATTAAGCCATGAAAGAACTAAAAAAATATACAATGAATTATAATTACAATACAACTATTGAATGATGTGGTAATTTTTAGTGATTAGTTGTTTTTCAATAATGTGATTTTTAAATTTTGGGTTTGTAATTAATTTATTGTTGTGGGCTGACAAATGAACGATTATTTTTTTGTCAATTTATTGTCTAATGATGGATTTATATTTCAAATTATTTTATTGTTCTCTGTAAGTTAATTAACACTAAAGCACATTACTTGTATTTTCATATATTTTTGATAATGTGCTCTCCCATAAGTAAAAAATCAAATCAGGTAACAATTTTTTTATTTTTTAAGAACCGAAAAGAAACCAAAACCCAAATGTTAGTTTTTCTGGGAACCAAATTGGAACCGGAACTGTAAAAGTATAGTAAAGTCTATCAAAATATAATATTAAATTTTTTAGTGTTCATTCTTTTTTTTAGAAATACAGTACAGTTGATATTTGTATTAATATTTTGAAAGTTAATGGAAACAACCAAAATCAGAATTTATAATTAATTAATTGTATTAAGTTATCATAGGTAGTATAGTATCACCAAGGGAAAAAAGTTAAAATATATTTTTTAGAAAATAATCACAGATTTTGCATTACCTATGAAATATATAATTATATAAATAAGAACCAGAATTTGCTGTAACTCTAACTTGTAAGTAATTTCACTTAAAATATACTGTACATTTTTTAGTTATATGGGATCTATTTCATGCTGTATCACACTTTAGATTATGTGTTAAGCTTATTTTGTATTCCTAAAAGTTAACTTTTTTTTGTCAAATTTTTGTATAGTAAAAATGCTCCAAAAGTTTCATGTGGCATATGTATTAAGAAAATAGTTTAAGGTAGATATTTTTTTTATCTAAGTTTCTTTTTGAAAAATTATAGATTTACAATAAATTTATATAGTAATATAAAATAACTAAATAGAATTAGTATACAATGGTTATTTCAAATTAAACAATGAAATTATTGTAAACAAAATATTTTCTTCAGTTAAATAAAATCATTAATTGATAATATAAAGTAGTAGATATTAGACCTAGGCTTCATGAGGGGGGGCTGATCCAAATTAGTATTTTTCATAGCACAATAAATCTGATTCATCCTCTTGTTAAAGTCTAAGCGTACTTATGTTATATATTAAAACTGTTATAATATTTTCTGTTAAGAGGACATCCCACCTGCATGTGTTGTCTCCGTCTTACAGATGTATAACATAGCAATTAAAACTATTTTGCTCTAGACAATTTTACTCCCTCTGTATTTGTAGTAGAATTATTTAAGTTCCATGAGACATAGGGAAGAAGCTTATCTATGTTGTAGTTTTTAATTTTTTTTTGTAGCACTAACCAATAATTTTTAATAATTAATTAAAAATGAACCTAATGTTCTGAAACTGATTACTTTAAATGTATTTATGTCAAATAAAAACACTATGACACTGATAAAGTTCTTCCCTATGCATTGTGGAATTTTTGTAATTGTACTATAAATAGGAGGGAGCAAAGTTGTCCTGAGCAAAACAGTTTTTGCTATGTTGTACATTTGTAAGACAGATACAACATAATATGTGTGACAACGTCCTCTCAATGATTGCCATAAACTAGGTATTATTTTATATTATTTTAATATTAAAAGTAATTAATACAAGTTATAAGGGGAGGAGTATCCCCTCATGTGACTCTCAAAACCACCACTTATATTGAATATGAATGTCGTAAATAGCCCAGAAGGTTGATTATTAATTTATTGCTGATTACTTCATTAGTTAATTAAACCTTTTATTTTATAATTTTCCAGTCTTGAAAACCATTCACTGTCGGAAAAACTTGGATTGCTATTGTCTGACAAAGATCATCTGTATAAATTTTATAAGCCAGAAGCTTTTTTATGTCAAAAGGAGTATAGCGATGCTGCATTATTATGTCTAAGAGTTGTTGAACTGAATCAACCGTCTTTATTACTGGAAATCAATCCCAAATTAGTAAGCCATTTTTTAATTGACTGTTTAATTATTGTTGATAATAAATTATTTTAAAATGTTTTTTAGTTCTTAAATTATTCATCTAAAAGTGAACATTGTACTACCTTGCCAAAATCATTATATAAGCAAACATATAGTAAATATTTCAAACAATTGGGTTCATTGACCAATCTCTTGAAGTATAAATCATCTGACAACATCAATGAACATAATATGAACACTGGACATCATAATGACCTACCTAAGCATAAAATTAAACACTTGTGTAAAAGACAATGCTATAAAAGTTGGCCAAATATTTATTATAAGACATTTGATCAATCGAAACTCAGGCGGTCATTAAGTTTTGACACAATACAAAAATCTGACTACTCATTAGAATGTACCCACCAGGCTACAACAATAGAAAATGCAGCTCAGGTTTTGCTACCAAAGTTATTGGATGTCAATTATGAACAGCTTCTACATGATAACGATGATTCAAACAAACATCAGTTATTGAGTAGTGATTTGCCAAAACGAAATAAACGAAGGTCAAAGTTATTTACACTCCCATTGAAAATATTAGAAGAATCTGACGATGACACTCGAAGCAATATTTCTGACGGATCCAGAACTTTGATACCTTATGATGAATTTCCACCTTCGAAGTATGTAGGGACATTCGGATTAGTATCTTCATATTTTCCCGATCAAGATTTGTTCAAGTTCTTATCTTCTGGACAGTTTCTTCAAGCCAATGCTGAACTCGACCGTGAAAATGCTCATTTCAAAATTTCCGAAGCAATCATTGGCACTATTGAACAAGTTAGTATTTAATCATAACTATTGTTTTATTGCTATATCTGCCATGTGGTTCAGGTTCCATCAATATAATAATTAATAATTTAATATATTATGATAAATCTCAAAATAAAAAAGCTACCAACTGCTTGATTTATTTAGGATATAAATAATTTTAAATTTGGTATTATTATCTACACTCAATAGTCATACACATAGAAACTTATTTTGTATTTATTGTTGACATTAATTACGAATATATAGGTTTATATCAGTTGTAAAATTAACACTAAAAAAACAATTAATAAATTGGTGAATTTGTATTAAATAATTATCATATTATTATGTTTTCACAATATTGATCGATTACAAAATTTTTGAACTAACAAATAAAATGTTTTCCTACTTATTTGTTCAGAAATACATTCTTCCCACAAGGACCAAAATATTAATTACATTAGCTCTTATCAATAACCTGTTCCAAAAATAAAATAAAATAAAATACCGACAGTAGTCAGGCTGTAATTGGATTTTAACCGCATGTGTGTAATATTATATAGTATGGAATGAACACTATAATACTTATACTTATACCTACTATATTCATTATGTAAACAAATATTTTTTGTCACAACGACGACGATGTCAATTTTTTTGTCCACTGCAAGTGCTCGACGGTCGTAGCGGCATCGGTATGGCAGGGATTTCGGCCGAGTGTCTCCTGCTCACCGAGAACAGCCGGCCGTCGGGAGAGAAAGAAATCTACTCACGCAATACGCATCCTCGACATCGCAGTGTGCCATTTACTTCCATCACACGGCGTTTCCTTTATGTACAAGACGATTATTATAACATTGAACTGCCATTTTCTTGGTAAATTTATGTGTTTATGAAAATATTTTTTGTATCTTTTATATAGTCATAACATCACAACATTTTAATTTATATTTCTTATTGTTTTTTTCTTTTTACCTAAATGTTATAATATTTTAAGTTTTTTACTCCTTTAAATGACAACATACATTTTTCATTATACTTCCGTATCAATACCTGTTACTTAGTTTGAATAAATATTTTAAGCTTAGGTCAATGAAGTATAATAGTGTATCTAGATCCAATGTATTATGTACCACTGTCACTTAATTCTGCTCATCTGAAAATTAAATGTTAACTAATTAACTTGGTACTGGTTCAACATTCTATAATTATTGTCAGAAAAATATTCTGTTAGCCTAGGATATCAAAAGGATATTAGGGTATTCTAAATTACTCACAAAAAAATAATTTCAAAAACACATAAATTGAAAATTACTTTCAAGGAAAATGATTTTTTAGTGATAAAATAATCTTCCTATATATAATCTTGACGTGTGTGTATAATGTATATATGTACACCCTTTATACATGTATTGATATATATATACACTCACACACACCGTATACTCCTCTAAAAGTGCCCTACAGATGTATAATAACGTGTAAGACATCAAAGTATTAATTTTATTATTTTTTGAATGATCTAAAACGTATATTCATGTACATTCTAACAATTATACCTGCATGACTGTTTTCTTTTATGTCAACCATTTGCTTTAGTATATACTTTTATTACCCTACAGACATATACTTTTTCTTTTTCTTTTTGTTAGAAAATTGTGCGTCACCGGAATCGACATTCCACGAGTACCTACCTCTTGTTTTCTGATAGTACCTACCCATTTTATTTTCGTTTGTTTTTTTTTTAATTACCTACCTGTACATTATTGTTTGCATACATCCGTTAAGACATTTATTTTAATTATGACGGTTTTGTCGTTAATTATCACTGTTTATCTCATGCATGCACATGTTGTGTTCAATATTTTTAGATCAAATGCAATCAAAAATTGAAATTCACAGACGAAGTGATCTACGAGAGCGACGAAGAGATAAACCGGTTAAAACAAAGAATCCGTTGTCGGCGCAAACAAAAGCTGCAGAACGAACAGACGCCGATGGCTGGCACATCGTCTTCCGATTGCTTGACCGAATGTAAGTAAACTGTACGACCTGTCTACCTTCATGATTACATATTGCAATATACGCATTATAGTATTCTCAAATGGAATAATGTTTAATTTCTAGCCAGGTAGCAAAACTTTAGGTCTATTTGAAAGAATATTCATTTTATTTTATTTTATATACCCACTAATGCAGGTAGCAGGTGTTGGCAATCACACGTCTTTTTTCCTGCGTGTAAAGGCTAAACGTATTGTTTTTCGCTGCTTAAATTACCTATTGATGAATTTTTGTACACATTATATAGCCACGATGAGTTCTCTGACGTCTTCTTACTGCTCAACCACATCCAGTATGTCCACCACGGATGATATGGACGAGTTCGATTTGGACGATGACAGCATCTGTTCGTCGATGTTCTCTGTGTGCAGTTCGTCGGCAGGCTCGTTGTCGTACTCAAACGCAGACCGGACGCGATCAGCAAGCGTGTGTTCGACGGTCACTGCAGAAAGTGTCGCACGGTCATTGATCCGCCAGATCAGCCACAAGAACAACTGGCCCGTCGACGTCAACGTCCAGTGGCTAATATCTGAAAAAGATGCCCCGCAACAGGTATGTCATTTCGTTATCACTCCAATACTCATTAATCAACATCTATTGTTACGTGTTAGTGGAGGCTATGCTAGAAATGAAGAGTGTTGCCAGCTGAGGATATTTCCACAGACCCACAGCCTTCGCCTTCTCCAGATATTTGATGTTAATTACTATAAATATTAATTATAATTATAATAATTAATAATTTTAAAATATCCAGGACTAACAGAACCCAAATCCTTATGTCCAACTAAACACTGATTCCCACCCAATTTAACAGAAATTATTATAGGATAGCCACTACTGACGTAACTTTAGCAGGGAATGAAATTTATTAGAAATTCAATTATACATGAGCATTAAATGTGTTTGAACATTGCAGATTTTACCTTTACCGTCGAGCTGGCCTGTCAACCCACATGATCACGCCGATGATCGTCTGGAGGCTTCGTCTCGGTTGCGAGGCACTAGTGATTGGGCGCCACCACGACCGCAAATTATATTCACTAGTCATCCTTCACCAATGTAAGCAAGACCGGTTTTAAGAGAGGGAGTGGGCATCGGTGGGTTACTGATTGTGGATATCACACTTTGGGGGATGGAAAAATTATCTCAGATGAAATGAACAAAAAAATTAATATTTCTTTGTGAAAAGAACATAAATCTGAACGAATAACGAAATAACAAATAATAATGAATAATTTTAATCTTATTTGAGTGTGACCCACTGATATTTTTACTAAACTTTAAAAATTTGAATTGAATGTAGATAATAGTCGGTTATTTTATTGTGTCCATACAGTGTACATAATATTATGAAATGTATCGTGCTATATTTATTGTATTATTGTGTAAATGTTTAAATTTTGATTGGAAGATCATAATTGGTAGGCTTTGTAAGTGCATTATTTTTTGGAAAGTCCCAGGCTTTCAAAGCTTTTAAAGTACAAAATCCATTTTGTACATCAGAGAATTGAAAAAATAAACTTTTATTTAGAATTTTTCTTAATTTTGTTAATTTTTGGTTTAATTCAAAATATTAGCTAAAAAATGTTATCCCGGCTATTTATCATTTGGCCATCATTCTATTTATATCCATTTTATATTTTATGATTTCGATACGTCGATAAAATCTTTATCTATCTGCTGTGCCACTAATGGCTGTTGAGTGTCTACGACTTAAATCAGTAACAACTAATATTGGTCAGTTGGTATTACATCGTAATCGTGTTTATTTCGTTAAGTTTGTATTTTCATTTGCTCAAGAAGTGTTAAAAATTGATTTGTTTAGGTAGTTTTTAAAGACTGCGATTAATATGCATTTATGGATAGTTTTTAGACCATTTAAATCCGGGACCTAATAATTATAACATAAGAACCAGAAGTTGTTGCATATTATACCTATTAAAATACCTTTAAAATAAGTATTTAAAAAATTAAAAAAAACAATCGTTTTTCATATATTTAATTTTTGATTAAATTTATTGTTTTTTATGTTTACAGTAGGAAGAACTTAATGGAACTACAAGGTTATAGATGTGCGGGCTGTAGCATGAAAGTGGCAGTGAAGTACGCTTCGAAATTCCGTTATTGCTTTTACTTGGGTCGGTATTTTTGCACAGGGTGTCATGTAGATAAAACCGCCATCATACCTGGTCGGATAATCGGAAAATGGGACTTTTCGAAGTACGTCTTATGAATTCCACAAACGTGTCTATGTTATTTTAATACATGTAATATTTGTTTCTGTAGGTATCCGGTGTCGTGTTTCTCATTCACTCTGCTGGAGAAAATGCTATTCGACCCGCTGTTTAATATAACCGACTTGAATAGCGTTCTATACAAACGTGCCCGAGGCCTAGACAAAGTTCGAACATATCGGATGCAATTGTATTACATCAAAGATTTCATTTTTTTATGCAGATACGCCGACCGGTTGGTATATACTATATATATACACTAGAGTCGTTTTGCACGTTCTCACTATTATGTCTAGTACTTTAGTTCTTATGCAAACACTATACATTTTTACATTAATACATTTGAATAGATTAAAAGAGACATTGGAAAACATGGACGCCCATATAATACTTAAGCCGGACTTGTATTCCATCCAAAATTTGGTGGATGTTAAAAACGGAGAACTCGGTAAAAAACTACAAAACCTAATCGTTGTCTGTAATAAGCACATTATCAATTGTCAGGTAAAAAAAAAAAAAATAAATATTTTGTACGATAAATTTGTAAATGCTCATTACTATTGTTTATAGTTGTGCCAAGCAAGAGGGTTTGTTTGTGAAATATGCAACAAGAATAAAATACTATTTCCTTGGGACTTCAGATTGGTCACGAGATGTGTGGACTGTGGGTCATGTTATCACAAGAAGTGTTACGATTCGAGAAAAGTGCCGATGTGCCCTCGGTGCCCTCGGATTATGGCTATGTTTAAAAGAACAGATAGTCAAAATGATCAGAGTACTGTTGTACAGTCTTGAACAATGGCTGTGAATTAGTTTCTTCCACACTCACCCAAATGTATTGATCGTGTATTTTTCTGATTATTTATTTTTTTATTACCTACCTTTTAGTATTTTTTTATTCTCAAAACTATTTATTATATTGTAGATTGTAGAACATATATGTTATTAAACATGACAACAATGGCAATTATTCATTATGTTTTTTAGTTTTTCGCCCATTTTGGCAACAAGAAAAGAAATAAATATCCTATGTCAAAATACTATTTAATATTTAAATAACCCACTAATATAATAATAATACAATAAACAGATATCATACTAATTTTATGGATAATATGGATTCATTAGTTGCTTATATAAAAAATATTATATTTAAGCACTGCAACTTAAGGAAATAGACACAAGAAAGCCTAGGCTAATTTTTAAGGTTTTATTAAGTAATTTTTTCATCTAACTAAGGATTAAAATTATCTAACTAAATTAACAAAGTTGCATTGTGTCATTGTGTACTACTATATGTTCTACAAACTAATTTATATCTTGTATATATATTATTAGTCTTAGTAATTAATCATTAACATTAAAATATATATTATTAACTGTCCTATAAATTAATTGATTTTTATTTAATTGCTTACACTTTTACAAATGTGACTATTATGTTTTAATTTGAATATCATGATCAAGTAGACAGATAGTTTTGTGTTTTAAAATCTTATACAATTAAATATAATTCAATTAATTTAACTGTTCATAATATTATATTTGTCAATACGTTTATAGTTAGTAAGATTTAAATTGCTAATAGCAAGTTGTGATGATTATTTTTTACAACTAATAGCAAAACTCAACTTTGTCTGGGGGTAAAGCACAAACCAATACAGGACAAAATAAACAAACATAATATTTATAACTTTTTAAGTTCGTAAAAACAAATATTTTTACTACTAAATTATATAAACTGAAAATTATATTAACTTATTATATAATATTGTAATGTCCAGTTACCTATGAACCTGTTTAGAACATGGGTACCTAATATATTAAATATTAATACGCTAACGTTATGTTCCGACTGATATATTTATATTATATATATTCTATATAGTTAATAATTATATCTATAGTATATTTTTGTATTTTTAAAAATATAGCAATATTTTTTTATAAAAATTTTTTTGAATTATCTGAATCTGTCTATTTTTATATTTTAACTAATAAAATATTATATTTTCAAGTATTATTGTTATAGAATAACAAATTTTATTAAAATCAAAAATATTAAATATATCGCCATGATTTAAATTTCAAATGCTCATAAAAATTGTTAACAAAAATGTTTTTAGAGATAACTAAAACAAATGAAAACTTTGTATAAAACATGTCAATTACTAAAAACTAAAATTGCAAATTTTAAGTAAAAACCATAGACCTATAAACTAATGGACAGCGCTTCCACTCCACCCTGCCATAAAAGCTAAGGAATCATATAACTAAGAAAGAAAGGAGAGAACAAAGAGAGAAAGAACATAAAGTAGTAGATCTTAGAGGAAATACCACAATTTTTTTTTCTATTTTCTTTATAAACCATAAACATATATATAATAATATAAATAAGTAATATGATTGTTACCACAGACATTAGACCTACAAGTTTAGTAACCACAAATCAGTTATTATGTAACCAATAAAATATAACAATTTTCAGATTTTATTGTAACACAATTTTTTATTTGGCAGTAGTCACACTGTAATTTACTACTTTGTTTCTTTTCTCCTCACTCTATATTGTACCCTTAGGCCTAACATCTCTCTTTAAGCGCTGTCCATTAGTTTATAGGTCTATAGTAAAAACGAAAATGTTTTTAATTTTTAAAATTATGTATAAGAAATTTAACTAAGAAATGCTTGAAATTTGTCATCAAATATTTTTAACTATCCTATACAATATACATTATATCAATGAATGTGTGAAAAATATACTCCTTTTAAATTTGAAATACTTATTAATGTCTAAAAAATATTCTATTTACTAACATATTATATAAGATCTATGATAATTTATTATAAATTATAACTATTTGTATTTTATGTTAATCTCAATAATAATAAATGAGTGCCTATAGGTATGTAAATATGATAGTAAAAATGTACAATGTTATCAAAAACAGTATTTAGACGTATATGATTAATAATAAATAAAGTATTTTTTTTTTTAAATGGCACACCCCATTTTATAAAAGATTTTTTTAATTAATTAGCATGAAAAACATTATGTTTATATGTAATAAATTAATTTTTCAAGAAAATATATTATTCAATTTGAAAATTTGAATTTATGGTTTATGATTTATTACAAGCTATTCAGATAGTATGTTGTTATAACTTAAAAGTTTAGTATGCTATTTTCTTGTGCCGATTCGAGTTTAAACATTTTATAATTTTATAATCTAAATATTTGTTTTTATTTACCTATTTGCTAATATGTTATAATATTAGGTACCTAATTTATTATATTAATATTATTATAATAACTAGAATTACCTATTAATCATATATTTTATCAAAATTATAAAAAACTTAAAGGGGGCTGCAGCCGGTTTTGTCAAAAGTTAAAACTAATGTAGATTTGACCAATCTAAACATTAATTTTGTTTCTTATAATGTTTTTCAATACATTTAAATTCTGTATCATAAAATAAACCTCAAGGGGGCTGTAGGGGGCTCCAGTCAATGAAAAAAAGGTGACTTTTAGACCAGTAAGTTAGACAAAACTGGAAGAATTTGGTTTGACAGATTTTAATTTTGAAAACAGATTATGATTGATCAACAAGTTTACTAGGGAATGATTGAGGGGATATTCCAATTATTATTAGTGTTATAATGAATAATATAAATACAAAAATATCATATTTTTTCGATATTATTATTCTTGGCTGAATATTTTAATCGTATATATATTTACATATGAGGGCAACCGATACATTTTGCTCTAGGTAGTTGGGGGGAATTGGTATAAAAAAAAGTACTTTTGGGGGCAACTGGTACATGCCCGTGAACAGTCCTTGAGGTCCGCAAAAACAAATGATCGTGGACTTGAGTGGCGAGATGCAGGCACTGGATGAATTGTATATGTGCTTGATGGGGCTATCAAATTTTTTTAAATTATAATTAGGTACATTATATTAGTTATTAAATTAATTTACAAAAAAGAAGTGCAGATGGTACATACCATTTAATGAAAAATGGAAGGCTTGACGGGCGTTACAAGTATCTTTAACTCATGGACGAATAGAAGACATTTTTCAGAAGACCGCGGCACACTTAGTGAATGCTCCGGGGCTTTGGGCACTTAGTTTGAAAACCACTGGCATACAGGTACTAACTAAATCCGTTCTACAAGTCACAACTAATCTCCCAGATTAATAGTACCTATTTGTCAAGTTCTACCAATTACTTACGAGTTATGGTAGGTACGCCTACCTACCTTGATACCTATTACATTTCAGTTATTAAGTAATGAATAGTATTGTTTTATAATATAATTGTTTTTTTTTTTTTTTTTATTAACAAGACATATTAGTAGTAGGGCCCCATTGTACTTCGACAGCCAACACATAATTTTTCTTTCGTGACTGATATAGCGTAGTTTGGGGTACCTATTTAATTAACATTTTTCCCAGGTGCGTCGTCTTGGCACCCGTGAATCGTCAAAACCCCCTCTAACATATCTCATTGTTTTGTACTCATTTGTACTCCTCTCCCTTTTATGCAAAACCAAATCCCCCGTTCTGGTGCTGTAACGACGTCGTCCTGGCGGCTGACACCCGGAACCACCAGAAGTCAACCGATCGACTCTGCACCGAGATCTCAGTTAGCCAAAGTTAGCCCACATTATACATCTATAATATCTGTTTCACAGCGTTGTCTTATAGCGTTGTCGTTGCAATTGTTATAATTCGATATTCTGATGCCAACTTGAACTATCGGAGCTATGGCGTGTTTAGGACTTTATCTTGGGAGGATGGATACGCGTAGGTATTTATCCAAAGCTCGCTGACCCAGGGAGATCCGCTAGGGATCCGCTCGACTGTTCCCCTCACCAAATTGCCTTTAGCAGTTTACCGCTGTTCATTGGTATAACTATTGTAACAATATAACTTAATAACATCATGAATATAAAATACATTCCAATTTTCCTACATTTTATTAGATATACCAACCCGTTAACTATATTATGTAGATTGACGCCAGTAAGTTAAGGTAGGTAGGTATACTACCTAGGTAGGTATAAGTACAGGTTGTCGTTTTTCGCATCTTTTTTTTAAACACTACGATCGTAGACCAGTACCTACACACCTATACATCATTATATTATATACATAATATTATACTATAACACGCCATGTTTGAGTTATGTTCTATGTGTAGCCCTGTGGCCAATAACTAATATAGTTATTGACATTGTAATGTAAAAGTTGAGAACATATTGAATTCCATATTTGTTTTATCTTATTTACCGAAAAAAATAGTGTAAAATTGGCAAGTAAAAATAGTAAAATATAAATATGTTTCAAGTTGTAATCAATTTAAAAACACCATAACGATAAATTGAATAATAGGTACTTAAATGAAAAAAAAAACATTATTTTACAAAATACGAAGATAAAAGGTGGGCAAGTGGGTGTCGCTCTGCTGTACAGAAAGTTACAAGTGAATTCAAATTTAACACCATCCATTACAGGGACCCACAAGATCATCTAACTTACTTCCAAAATATATTTCAAAATGTTTTATTACTATATTATAATTTATAATCATTTAAGTCCGCTGTCCATGAGGAGAAATCCTGCAGCAGCTGTCCCATCTTATCATATTATTATGTAGGTACTCATCTTGCCCCACATGGCCCTATGTTTATGCCCTATACTTTCCTATTACATACATGACTTATATATTATGTATTATTAAAATTTATTAAATTCCGAATGTTATAGAGTGATGCACATGAACGT